CAATCCTTTATATTAATGGTATATGAAAAATAATATATATTTTATTCCTAATAAGTAAAAATAATTTTATTTAATATTTCGTGAATATTTGTCAATCTTTTTGTCGCACAGAAAAAGTTCGATTTTCTTTTTACGAATAAATATATTTAAAAATTATAAAACTAAAATTTTTTTTTTTCTACAAGATTCAGTAAATGAACAATATACATGAATTGATAACGTATATATATGTTATTTTATATAGCGATGTGCATTACATAGATAAAAATCCACACGTGAGCATTACTTGTTTTTTTTTTCATTTATGATTTAAAAGTGCTTTTATAAAGTGTTTCACGCGACGATACTATATATAGGCGTGCTTCCAACAATAACCGTTACTGGACCGTTAATGTCTCAAGTATTAGTAATAAAAATCTATTAATTCCCAATTAATTTGAAAAAATAAAATTCTTCAAAAACAATAATAACGAATAAGTTCTTAAAATTTCGTTCACTGTGTCAGAAGTAGTTTGTAATAAATGCAATTTTTAATAATTTATCTTTTTTATTATGTTAACTTGTTGCAAAATATATGTAGCCCAAAAAAAGATAATTAAATATTATACAAATCAAGGGTCTTCGTCTGTAAAAAAAAAAAAATTGAATAAAAAAGCCGTTAGGTATTATAATTCAATTATGTAATTAGTATAATTGCTATAACTATAATTCATGTATAATACGCAATTTTTGTCATTAAAAAAATAAACTGATGAAGCAGTTTAATACAAAAACAAAGAAAAAAAAATATTATGCAACATGGTTTGATGTATAAATCGATTGAGAATAGACAATATTAATAAATAAAGATTTTATTTCAATAACTGCAAATTATAATAAAGCTGTTTTAATTAATTATAACTTATTATTAATCAATTATTTAGAAAGACACGACTGCTTTTATATTACATATCAAAATGAAAATTATTATATTATTGACACATCTCGCCTATTATTATTTATTGCTGACAATATGAAGAGAATAAATTTACTCTTGACACTTCTCCGGAAACGTTCTCCTTTTCCGGAGTAAAGCAGAAAGCGTTTCACATTTTTATGTTCTTTTGTTTCCCGTATAGAGTAAATTACACATGCATAAATACATATATATATATATATATATATATATATATATATATATATATATATGCTTATCGTCCAAATATTACTTTTTTTATCACGGTAGTGTATGCTCTTAAATAAGAACTTTACTCATCCGAAAAAAAATTTTTTCTGTAACAAAATCTTTTGCTTAATGTATTACAAAATAGTATTACATAAAATATTCTTAGACTTTAAGAATATTTTACATTTTTATAAAAATATTTTATAAAAAAAATTTTGAACAATAAATAATTTTCTACATATATATATTTTCTTTATATATATATATATATAATGACAAATTGTAATTAGTATGTGAGACAAAAGAAACAATGCTTTGTGATTATCCACTTGAAAGTAGACATGACAATAATTGACAATTAATTGCTATAAAGTGGGATTAAGTGCCATAGTAGAAATTTATTTATTTTACAACCTATTGCATTGATTTCCTATCTCTTTTCTTTTATCATTAAAAATAATTTGTACTATATTAGTTATTTTTTATTGAGTCAATTTTTTTTTGTATAATTAAATTAAAAAGTTCATTCGCTATAAAGAAAGTTTAAATCAATCGATTTGTTTAATATAATCTCTATTATTACTTAGAGTATATAGAGTAGAGTGGGGTGAAAAAGCGAGGGGGAAAAAAAGCCATTTGGGTTTTATATTTAAACTATTGAACAGTTTTATCAGCCATTTAGAATATAAATTCAATTATATAGGTAATACGCAACTTTTGATTCTAGTTTGGCCATTGTATTTATAATATTATAGTTTTTATTGTAAAATTTAGTTTTGTGATCTTTTAGATACAAAATTTTGGTTAAATTTCCGAACATATTACACGACTCGTTCAAGTGTATGAAAAATAAAAGTAAACGTTTGTACATAAAGAGAAAACTATTCTTAACACACGTATGTGATGTAGATTTTTTTAAATTGATTTAATTTTGAGATTTATTATAGCTTTTTGTATAAAAATGGCCCGGAGGGTATAAAAAAGCCACATACCTGTGGAATACAAAATCCCATTTAATATTCAATTTTGTTTTCTGGTATTCGTAACCTCGTCTTTTTTTTAACCTCGAAAATAGGTAAATTTTCTCTTATATATTTTTTATATTATTGTTACATTAGATTTAATATTAATATTCTTTAAAATTTATTAAAATAACATTATTTGTTATATAAATGAAGGAAAAATAAAACAAATAATGGTAATATATTTTGCCCGAATCGCAAAGTGGCTTTTTTATTCTATCCTTTCATAGGATACGAAGATTGTCCGACCAGGATTTTGAGGCTAAATAACTAAAATTTCAGAACCAATTGGAATTTCGAAAAAAAATTAATATCGATTTTACATATTAAAAAGAAAAAAAGTGGCTTTTTCACCCCACTCTACTCTATTAGATATAATAAATATTTCATTTCTGAATTAAAAAAAAATTCTTAATATTTTTTTGTAAGATATTCGTGAACGATATAAGCGATAACAGAAAATGAAACAGCAGGAAGTAATTTTTTTTTCTTTTTTTTTTTTTTTTGAGAACTGGTTAATTCTTTTGGACGTATTATTTACTATTTAATTTTTTGCATCACGTAATATTGCGAACTTCTTGTGGGAGCTCACTTTGTTTGGTGACCTACTTTGTTCAGTGTTACTTTTCCTATTCCTGCCTGTGTGCTTTCTTGTCAGGTTGAAAGAGTAGCCAGTTTACGATTATGCAGTGCGATAATACACAATACATATATAATTATTATACCTTTCACATCAATCTGATTAAACTATTTCTAATAATAGGAAATTTCTTTATATTATAAACATGCTATTGATTCGTTCAAGAGTTCCTCAAGCAAATAACATTTTTATTTAACAGATTTATACTATTTATTTCAATTTTATATATTTCAATTGTTCAATAATAATAATAATAATAATAGATAAAAATTTAAAAAGACTGATAATAATGATAAGAAAAAGAAGAAAAAATATTTTTAGGCAAGAATAAAATTTTGTTTTTAATATAATAATTAACAAGTTAATAGGAATGGCGGCAAAAACTATATAAGATAATAAAATTCACAGTGCGCTATATGGTTAAAGATTACAATGTAAATGTTTCCTCGAAGTATTGATTGTTAAAAACCATTTCGTTCTGCATTATATATTTTAAAACGTATTTTTTTTATTTTGTCTTTTTTATATATTGCACGTTATTAAGTGATGTTTACATTTTTCTTTATATTGTATATTCAAGAGATTTTGTAAAATAATGAATTTTCTAAATAATTTAAATATTTTTGAAGTTACAATAATTAGATACAAAGAAAAAAATTTAATTACTTTATTTCAATAATTATTAATTATACTTTTATTAAAAGAAAAAGATAAAATTTCTATATTTGTCTAAAACCAATAAACATAATATATACCATTCTAGTACATTATTAATTAAAATCTATACCGGATAAAACGTTAATAAAATTGAAAATACAACTTTTTTTTTTAAATAAACGAAATCCAATTTTGAAACGCACGCCATGTTTTTTTTTTTATCTAGTGACTATAGTAAAAAGTGTCATTGTCTATTCAATTATCAGTTTTTCAACTCGTTGTGTGAAGATAATGAAAATATTTTTAGGACCTTATATGTTATTTAACTGCGTCAATGTAGAGTACAAGTAACAAAGTCAGTAGTGAAATATTTGCAATCGATATATTTATGTAAATTAAAATCTTTTTGTTGTTGTAATAATTATTACTCGAGCTGTACAATGCAAAAGATAAACCTATTCTATATTTAAACTTATATTTAAAATTCAAATGTCATCTTCAAATTTTTATTCTTTTTTCATATAAATAAAGTTTTTCGATTCTTTTAACATGAAATAAATTAATTTTTATTCTAGAATATAATTTACAATATAGGAGGAAAACGTGTGAAAAAAATGTAATTTTCCATAATAATTATATATTGTAATTTATATAACATAGTAAAGTTTACAAAACAACATTTCGACTATTTAACGTGAAAACAATGGGATTGTGACAACTGCAATAAACTGATGTTAACTGAAAAGATCAATGACACTTTTTTAATGTCATTTCACTTCCTTTGTCTTATCACTCATAAATAATATTATCTGAAATAAATATACCTTTGGAAGGCTTTAAAATTGTTAAGACATATCTACTTTGTTTCTGAAATAATATATATATGACGAAACGAATAAAATTCTTCAGCAAAAAAATATACGTAATCGCAAATGTAAATAAAATTAACCCAAATAATTAAAGCCGCTGGATTCTTGAAGGGCACGTAAATTTTTTTCTGCCGGAAAACGAAGTCCTCTGGACACTCAAAATTCATTTTTCGAATTTTACAGAATTCGATTGCGCATCTTTTTTTCTTAATAAAAAACTTTCCATCTTTTTCCAGTTTCGAAATATAAGAGAAAAACTAGTTGTCATGGCAACACATGTGTTAGAAAAGGAAAAAAAAGAGTATCTGGCATATCTGGCCATGAGTGTACACGATGAAAAAGTTCACGTTTCTATATATGATTAACGATTTTAAAAGAAATATTTTTTTGCAGTAAAAATTCAATGACTTTTCTTCTCAAAAAATATTTCCTGAAATGTTTATTAATAAAAAAATTATTAAAAAAAAAATCTTTTTTTAGGTAAAAAATGTTATGAGTAATTTTCTGTTTAAAAAAATTAATTTGTTTTCAAAGTAAAAAAAAAAAAAAAACGATGCAATAGCATTAGTAAAAAAATCTTTATAGAAATCTGAAATTGTGAAAAATTTATAACTAATTTATGCTTTATTATTTTTTTTTTATTGCAGCCATGTCACTGGAGGAGTCGAGAAGATCACAACGTCCATATAGATATGGCATGGTACTTTTATGTGTAGGGGCATTAATTAATTGGTTGGGTCTAGCCGAAAATTACGTGGAACCTGTCAGATATGTCGGTGTAGCCTGCATCATTGCAGGTGCTTTACTGATATGCGCTGCCATGTGCTGTTGGCTTCATGCACCACCAACCAGAACTAGTACACATACTCATCATAATAGTCATCCAATAACTGCCCAGGTAAGATCTATTAATAAAATCAACAATTTTTTATTACTTTTCAGGATATAATCATTTCTTTCCTTTGTTCAAGACATTTTGTATTTTTCCACAATTTAATAGATATTTTTAGCATAAATGATAATAAAAAATATTAAAGTTTTTTTTTTTAATTCAATTTTTACTAATTTCATTTATTCTTAATAAATTATCATAACCTTTTATTTTTAATTTATTTTATTTATATTTATTTTTGTTACTTTTGGATAATGTCGAGGCGCATGATTATAAACCAGAAATTGGTTTTTTCGAATTTTTATTTTCTCAAAAATCGTTTAATCTAAAAGAAATTGACTATCATTTTTTCAATTCAAATCGTTAGATTATATAATAAAAATAGTTTCGAATTATTATTTGACAGAATTTTTTAACTTCGAAAGAACATTTTTTATAATTTTCAATTTACCGAATAATCATTTCTCATAATTATTATTATTATTATTATAGCGAATAAGTATTTTTTATAATTTTTATTTTTCCAAAATACTGTTAATACCATTTTTGATTTTACATAATTACCATTTCTTAGAATTTTTTTTCTTCGAATTACCATTTGGCATAATAAATATTTTTCATCACACATGCACGATTTAGTCAGTTTTACGCCCCACCGAGCGAGAAAAAAAATTAGATTTTTTTGAAAATACATAATTAATAATTGGAAGTAACAGACTTTAATTGCTTTTTCCCAAAACGTTTGCTCAACACTTCTTTTTGTTGATATTCTATTTTTTTTATTGTGTCTCTTCCTTTTTTTCTGAAACAAAATAATGCACAAAAAATAAAATTTTTAATATTGGATTTTAATTTTTATAATAAATAATTTATTTTATTAATTAATTTAATGATTAGGTTAAAAAAAAAACGCCCAACAATTTACTCTATACCAACATATCGTTTTGGATTCATCAAACTTATCAACAATAAATAATTATTAAATTATAATCACTGTTATAGAAATTTCATTGTTTTTTCACCAGATCATTAGTTACTCTTTCTTTTTTTATCAAAAACTCACTTTAAAATAACACTTTTAACTTTTTACCGGCTTCTTGTACACAATATTTTTTGTCAACAAACCGACATAACCTCACATTCGCAAAAAATTACTTTTTCATATTAATACTTCAATTATTAACATCAAGAACTTTCATCACATCCTTTAATTAATTCATTTCTTCACAATCAACATTTTTTTCTTTGTTTTAAACATTATTGTTTGTATTTTTATTTTAAACAACATTTAAATGTGTGTCATGATTTTTCCCATTTTCTGTTTCTACGACTATGTGGATGTTTTAGGGCGCACTCTCACCTCTCAGCTGCCTGCCTGCCTGCAGGCAATTTTCTCTCTCTCTTACTCCTGCACGTTGCCATGACAACTCCTGCAGGCAGGCAGGCAGCTGAGAGGTCAGAGTGCGGCCTTACTTTTGCAGACGACGCGTTGTCATTTCTCGCGCGAAATTCAAATATCGCCCCTGTTTAATGTCTTTTCGAAATACCTTCTAGTAAATTTAAATGTATTTCGAATACAATTTTAACATGCAACAACCCTATGTTTGGTTTAAAATAATCCTTTCTGTATTTTGTACTAAAATATAAACTTACAAAAAGTAAGAAAAAAAAAATTCTTTCATATAAACATTCAAAACTTTAGGGACATGACAACAAATTTTTATACTATTTCTTAGCTCCTCATAAAATTTTAGCTCGATCAATTAAATACCTATATTTTGCGAGAAAACCTACGGAGAAAATTTACATGTAAAATCGCAACAATCAAATAACCTAAAAAAGAAAGTTTTATTATAGCAATGATATATTTGCATCAGTTAAAGTTTGTTTGACACAGATGCGATTCTAAAGTTTTTGTATTAAATAAATATTTATTTAAAGTTTGTATTAGAAAATTATTAAGTCAAGGAAATTTTTGATTATATATATATGTGAAACTTAACTTGAATTATATGTAGTTTGTATCAATTCTACTTATATCACCGTGACATAGTATTATATTTATAATTTTATTTTATAATCTTTATTCTCATATAGTTATGGATTAATAAGTTTTTCAGTTTTTATATTTAAATTGTTCCATATAAATATTTTTATTTTAGAAAAAAGAGTTTTTTTTACAACAATTTATGAGAATTAAAAAAGTCTTGTTAAGGGAGTGCATATATATATAGTGTATAGACGTATAAGGTAAACCACCTTCTTTCATAGAAGGAAGACTAGGATTTTAAATCAATATAGGTCAATCCCCTATTGTAATCTACTAACACGAAGAATATACCTCGGGTGGTTATTACTTGACCCTTGCGTGTCTCAAAACTGCACTTCTACTATTTTGAGCATTCAGTTCATCCATTTATAACATTTTACTTGAAATATTCACAAAAGCCCTTATTACATTAATAGCGTTTAAGGCCCGCTATGACGTGATTCTATAGACTTGGCATAGACAACTTATAAGAAGTTTTTTTTAAGACTCCTTGAGCTATTTATATATATACTTATTTTCTGCACATATATCCACATTGCAGTAAAGTTCAATCACTTTTCAATTAAAATTATTAAGTAATATTCTTCTTCAATGTATATAGGTGACGTTCCACGAGATAAGGGACATTGCGTTAAAAAAAAATTTTGGTTATGTTTATTGATAGTTTTACCTTTTGTTAAAAAATTTCTTTTCAATTAGATAAAAACAAAATTTGTTTTTATTGAATTTTAAATAATTTTTTTAATATGTAGGTATAATATTCAGACCTTACCTATAGGAAACTCAAAAATTAATTATTTTGTTTAAAAAAAACACAGCAATAAATAAATCAATCGATGATCAAGAAAAATATCATTAAGCAGTAGTGTATAAATTTAAAAGTAAAGTTCTTTTTTTAATTTTGTGGTTTTGTATGGTCTAAAACAATCCTTATATTAGGTGAAATAAATTTCAGTTTGTAAAGTAAATCACTTTACACACCGTTTTAAAGAGAGCTTCTTTACACACACTTTTCGGTTTGTAAAATTTAACTTTAGAGGTTAGTGTTGCAAAAAAAAATATTTTAAACTTTATTTAAAGAATTCCAATAGTGTATAATATAAGTGCACTTGACTTACAAATGTACGTATATATTTTGTGACAAGAAATTCATTTGACTAGAAATAAACTTAATGCAGTTTAATATAGAAGTGACAAATTATTGATTCTTAATTTAAAACGAACGTATGTGAAAAAAAATTCATAGTAGTTCAATATTAATAAAAAAGATAGTTATTTTTTAATGCTGCAAAGTAAGGTCAATTTATTTCATTTCAAATTTCATACAAAATAGGCATATCCATATTTTCTCTATACTAATTGCTATTTTAAACTCTTAACATAATCTCAAAACTGAAAATGATTTTTAACGTAAATACAAATTTTATTTATTAAATAATTTTTTTACTGAATAAAATAAGCTATTGCTTATAAAAATTTAATAAAAATTGCAATTTTTGCCTGAGCTGAAAGAAAAAAGTCAAAAATGTTAAAAGAAAGAATTATTTAACAAAAGATTTTAATTTGAAAAATATATAAACGATTTTTGATGCTTATATTTTTTAATTCAAAATTGTTATCAAGCTGACATATTCAAGTGAAATATAGACTGCGATATAAAATAAAAGACTCCCTTATAAACTAGAAGGAATTAATATATATACAGTTCTTGTGTAATCAAGAATTATTGTCACTATAAAAAATTTTTTTTTTCCCATTCGACAATTATGCATCACTTATATCTTATCTCGATCGTGGATTTTTTATTTTTCTAAAAAAAAAAAATTTTTAATCTTTTTTCGACAAAACCTTATACACTATCTCCCCTGCAACTTATTAAACACCACGTCGAATGGAAATTCCTTCATGTGCATAAAATAATTAATTAATTGTCGTTTGATTATTATTAAAATGTATATTATAATAATATAGTATTAAAATTTATTATTAGTACGATAAATCAAAAAAATGAAATATGATATCAAAATTTCATAACATGACATATTTACAAAAAAAAAATTTAATTTAGTTAGAAAAAAAAAATTTTTTTGTCAAGATAAAAATTAGAAATTTTAATAAAAAAAAAAAAAAATATTAATGTTATCTACTTGAGTTTTTTTTCAAAGTGCATTATAATCATTTGTGTATAATCGAATTATGAAGAGATTTTGACTACACATGATGTAATCAAACATTAAAATGTATAACAGATAAGATACGCTTAAAAACAAAGTCTTGGGGATCATCAGATATATATTTGGAAGAAAAACACGACAAGAAAATAATTTACTTAAATTAAAGGAAAATTTCTTTTATCAAATCTCTGACATTTTCTTTCTAAAAAGAGAAAAATATTCCATATATATTGAATATATATTTTAAATTTTTATATGAAAATTTTTCAATACGTATTACAAATTTTATTTATAGAAATTAGTGTAAATTTTACATTTATACGAGTGATTCTTTTCTTATATATATACCATTTTATATGTAAGATATATAATTATAAAAATTTCTATAGTTAAAAAATATTTTTTGGTGGAGAAATTGATGATAATATAGATAAAAGAAAAAGAGGGTCGTCTAGCCATGCTCATCCGTGTTATAGACTTTGAGGATATTCACCCGGAAGTGCATGCAATTCTATATTTATCGTAGGTCGTCCATAGATATATATATGTCTATCATAGAAACTACCTTTTCATACTTTAGCATTTCTCTATATATATTTATATTCTCACATATATATCTATTTTCAGATTGTTTCCCATGTAATACACATAGAAAAAGTGCAGTATTTATAACAATTTTGGTTAAATATAAACTATATTAAATATATATGTTTTGAGTCATGCAAAAAATTTTCATTCGATGTGATAATTAATCTCATAATAATTTGTCTACTACTTGTTTTCCTTCTTTTTAGGAAATTTTAATTTCAAGATAATAAATTAATCATTCGCGTAATTTTTTTCCACTTTCAATAAAAAATGGTCATTATCAAAGAAAAAAAAATTTTTTTTTTTTTGAATGATAAAAATCTTGAAAGAAAACAGTAGATTTTTACCTCTATATATAATAATATATGAGAAATTATATCTAAATACAATAGAAATTGATTTATAGTATGGCACGTGGCTTTCTATATTTATACACTTGAATCTGTTGGTCGATACAAATATTACTATCATATATAAAACTGAAATCAATAAAATATTATGTACGTATATATAAACGATTTTATGGTCTTTTAACAGAAATGACAATGAAAAAGTCTACAGTCAAGAACACAGTTTTATATTTTTAAAATAAAAAAAAAGTTAACAAGTTCTTTCTAAATTTGAATTAGTCATTTTTTAATTCAACTTTGCCGATTGATGTAATAATATTTTGTGAAAAAATTGCATATTTGTGCAAGTGCTTTAAAATCGTACAAATGTAAAAAAAAACAAAATTACGTTAAAAATCGGGCTTCAACTTTACACTAAAAAGATTGAAATTATATATTTTCAATCTCGACAAGTGCGAATGTTTTTATTTCATTGGCTTAAATTTTTTTGTCCAACCAATGACATGCAAACATTTATACCCTTTTCGGATTGAAAATATATTATTTCAATTTTTTTAGTGTAAAGTTGAAGCCCGATTTTTAACAGTGTACCAAGAAAAATGTACAAAACTTAAAAGTTTCAAAGTATATTTTTTCCAAAATACAAAATTTCCAAAAATTAATATTGGAAAAATAATAATTTTAAAAATTTGACATTGGCCTTTTTTACTCTCTACCTTTTTAAAAATAAATTTTTTAATAAAATATTATAATACTCTGACACATAAAAAACGATTCCTTATACTATTTTTTATTTCTTCACAAAATTTTAGCCACTAAACTAAACCACTAATTCAAATAGCTAGAATTTAGCGACTTATTTGAGACCACTGATTCATATATTTAGAGAGAACCTTTCGCGGAGAATATTTCAGCAAAAAATACATAATCTTAAGTAGTAAATTAATTAAATATAGTAATTATATAAATGTCTGTGTTCAATATAGTGCACAAGTAAAACTTGTCGCAGGTGCGTTTATTACGACTTTATAATTATTGAAGATCATTATAATGTTCGTCATTTTGAGCTCCTCGTGATAAGAGAATATTGACCTATAAATAAGAATGATAAATACAAAGATTAAATTATGACCTTCTTGATGCGCATGAACAAATGTTTTACCTTTAAATTCGCTTTATGAATGTGATGTTTAATTTAATTTCTTTTTTTTTTTTACCTTTTCACAGATCGATGATCCTATTCACGTGATTTCGATAGAGGAGCCTCCTGATGGATCGAGACAAAAACCACCAGATTATGATGCCGTGACTGATGCTCCACCAACTTACGATGATGCTATCAAATTAAATCCAGGACAATTAGTGAGGTCCAGTAATTGCAGTTCAACTATTTTATCAGTAGAACACACGATACCAGGGACGGTCAACGCACTTTCCTGCCAATCTGTACCAACACCACCACCGCCATACGCTAGGTATACAAATTTTATTAAAATACAAAAAATTTATAATAATTACAAAGCCACACAAAAAAAAAAAAGTTTTGATATGGGGGTCTGACTATGCTTACTTTATGTTTTTTGGGTCGCTGAATCTAATGTCAGTTTTTCAAAATTCAAAATGGCGGATCCAAAATGGCTGACACATTTTCGAATGGCCAGAAACTCGTTACTCGGGGGTTTGCGGAGTCGCTGATTACGAATTTGAACTTTGTTTTCAAAAAATCAAGATGGCATCGTAACAAATTTCTTAAGTGTATCTGCCATGACGGCATTTTTCGAAAAAGTGTCCGCCATCTTGAATTTTTGAAAACTGACTTCAAATTCATAATCAGCGACTCCGAAAACCCCCGAGTAACGAGTTTCATGCGATTCTGGTGAATTTTTCGAAAAATTGTCCGCCATCTTGAATTTTTAAAAACAAAGTTCAAATTCGTAATTAGCGACTCCAAATCATGCGATTCGGATGAATTTTTCGAAAATGTGTCAGCCATTTTGGACCCGCCATTTTGAATTTTTGAATACTGACATCATATTCGTGATCAGTGACCCCAAATAAAGAGTTTCAGACAAATCCGATGAATTTTTCGAAAAACCCTGGCGGATTCGATTTGCGTAATGTCTACTTAACTAAGCGGACTTTAGGTAGACATTAGGTAGACATGTAAAAAAACGTATAAAAAAGCTATTAATCGACTTATTATGATAAAAAAAAGTTGATAAAAGGGTAAATGAATGTTTATAGAGTAAATTCGTACAAAATTTGTAATTAATAAAGCAATAAATAATTAATAATGAATGGAAATGTGCGCGAGGTACCTGATCAGTTCAGCTGTACAATTATTTTCGTGCTATTTTCATGAAAAGAATATAAATTAACTGCAAAAACAATTGATATTTATAAAAAAGTGTAAAATTGATTTAATTTTATTGTTTGCAATACGAATTATTAAATAATAATTAAGTTTTTATCAAATGTGAATAGTGTTGTGAAAACCTGTGAAAACTAATGAGTTACTACATTACCGATCGCATATGATAATAAAAAGTTCTCGATGAGTGTAACAAAAAAGCTGCAATCATGTCCGTAATTTTGGACGAGAAACAATTATGAAATCAATAATTATTTGTATAACTTTATTCTGCATTTTAAAATTCACTTTTTATTTTCTTTCAAAGCAAAAGCTTGGAAGAAAACATGCTCGCGCACTGTATTGTAAAAACTGGTGGCGCCATCTCTCATATGCGATCGGTAATGTAGTAACTCATTAGTTTTCACAGGTTTTCACAACACTATTCACATTTGATAAAAACTTAATTATTATTTAATAATTCGTATTGCAAACAATTAAATTAAATCAATTTTACACTTTTTTATAAATATCAATTGTTTTTGCAGTTAATTTATATTCTTTTCATGAAAATAGCACGAAAATAATTGTACAGCTGAACTGATCAGGTACAAATTTTGTACGAATTTACTCTATAAACATTCATTTACCCTTTTATCAACTTTTTTTTATCATAATAAGTCGATTAATAGCTTTTTTATACGTTTTTTTACATGTCTACCTAATGTCTACCTAAAGTCCGCTTAGTTAAGTAGACATTACGCAAATCGAATCCGCCAGGGAAGTGTCCGCCATATTGGTTTTTTGAGGTTATCTCAAAATCCTGATCTGATGGGGTAAAACGGACCTCGAATTCGGATTCAGCGACCCAAAAAACATAAAGTAGGCATAGTCAGACCTCCAGATCAAAACTTTTTTTTTGTGTGGCTGTGTTATTATTAAATTGTGGAAAAATTATATTTTACAAAAAAAATTTGTAAATTTTCTATTTTTTGAATTTATATTGTTATTTTTCTTTTTTTCCCTCTCTCTCTCTATCTTTTTAATTAATCAATCGTCAAGTTGAAAAATCTCTAAATTCATGTATGTAATATTGATTTCACAAATTAATTGAATTTAATAAAATTTTTACAAAAAATAATTAACTTTTACCTAAAGTAAATTAAGTGTATAATAGATAATTAATTTTAAAAGAATTGAACATTTTGAATCAATTAAAATTTTAATAGAATTGAATTTTTTAAATAATTCAATTAAAAAAATTTTAATTGCTATACGGTTAAATTTTTTTTTTTTACGATTAATTTTTAGACAATTGATTTGTATTGTGCAGGCTTCACAGTGTTTCCCTTATTTTTTCTCTATTTTACAAAATTCCCGTTTCTCCCCCTTTTTTTATGAATATTTCCTCTTTTTTTCACTCATTTCATATATACTCATTTCGCTTGTTTTATGTTGAAACTCGAATAATGGGATATTTTAATAAAAATCCAAATTTGAATAAAAAAATTATAAGCCTGGGATTGCACGACTTTTTCGTCTTTTATCAATTTTTTTCAATGAATGCAATTATTTCGACTTATTTTTATAAAATGTGACTTTTTTCTTGTAATGAAAATCAACTTCTTTCTCTTTCTAAAGTCAATCTGAGACCTGAATTAGGAAAATTGAAATTTTTTTAAAAATTTAATTTAAAGAAATATATTTAATTTTAATTAAAAAATTTCAGTTTCTTTGAAAAATATGAATAAAATCGAGTTTTGTACCTATATTTTACAAGACGGTTTTCGGTTTAATAAAATAAAAAATTACTTGCATTTTTCCAGAAAAAATTTAGTTTCGAAGTAATTTTCATTCTGTGGAAAATTAATTTTCAAATAAGTTTAAAAAAATAAAAAGCATTTATTTATTAGATGTATGCAATTCAAATTTTTTATTCTGGAAAAATCTCTCCTTTAAATGTCACTTTTCTCTATAAATTTATCATCTTTTAATAAATTTGAAAAAAAAATTTTTTGCTTCTATACTTTCTACGTTTTAAGATGTTTTTTATTCATCAAGAAACTGGGTGGTCTTAAAATTTTGCACCGGTAGTGTAATTTAAAACAACTTTAAAACAGTTTGGTTAAGGAAAATATACATTTAGATTTTACTCTATTTTCCCCCCTTTTTTTTATAACAAATTTTATGCTGTGAAGCTTGTATTGTGAATAAATTAATAGATGTAAATTAATTTAAAAATGTTCTTTAAATATTTGTTGAAAATTTAAAAAAAAAATGTTAATGTAATGTTTTGTTTTTAATTGTAAGGAAAAATAATAAATATATTTTAAATCTTGTATTCAATTTATAATATTCTTTAGTTTATTTTTGAGAAAAAAGTTTCTTTAAAATCAAAAATTGAGAGGAATGTGGACAAGAATTTTGTGAAATTATTTTTTACATATACAATTAAAAATATGTTTTTAATTTGAAAAAAATAATACAAATATTTTGAAATTTATAATTTATTTCATTAATTATGTTCAAAATAACATTGCATTGTAATTTATTCAAAGTATAATTGAGAGAGAATGTCCCAATTTCAATTAATTGAAAATTAATAATCTTAATTAAATTGTAAATATATTCAAAATTGTAGGACAAACTGGTTTAATGTAATTAAATATGTACACTTGTTTTTTATCAAACTCTGAACGTTTATTTATTCAATATACGCCTCTTTATCTCTGAATACACAAGAAGACTGCTAGGTTACGAACCGTTCCGCTCGCGCGCTGAGAACACATAAAGTCTGGAAGGGGAATCGGTCCCACGACTACCACGACACGGAATATCGACAAAGCTATTTCTTACACTCCCTCCCTTTGTCGATTATCAAAATTTTCAAATTTTAATCTTAATAATTATATCAACGTATAAAAACTGAAATACAATAGAACAATATTAATTCGAAGAAACACTTAAGAAATAATTATATTTATATTATGAAATGTAGATCCAATAGAATGAGGAATCCATTTTAGATTTTAATGATTTTATTGGACTCCTGGATTGAACTCCTTTCCGTTATTAAAAATCCGTTTATCGCTATTCTAAAAACAAAATCATAATGTTAGTTTGTTAAACATGTAAATTTAAATAAACGTCTGAAATATTTTTAACTCATACAATTTGAATTTGTATTAATAATTTTATCTCTCAGATAAGTAAATTCTTTTTCTGCTAACGGTTTCGTCATTATATCGGCAAGATTTTCTTTAGTAGGTACCCATAGGACTTTAACCTTTTTCTCATCTACACATTGCTTTATAAAGTCACCATGAGATTCTGCCATTGGTTTTCTAGTTCCCGTTTCTTCTCTGAATACCAAATCCCTTTGAATCATTTCCAAACTCTGATCAAATGTCTTGAGTTTGTGACTCCCATCCATTTCGGTACAATCTCTTGCGGACCTATTGTCGCACCAGATGGTTACCGGAAACATAGTTCTTCCTAGTATATATCTAATTGATTTATCTAGCGATATCAATTCTTGACATGCATCGCTCATGGCTAAGTATTCTGCATGGCATGTTGACAATGAAATATTAGATTGTTTGTGACTTCGCCAAGCAATTACATCACCAAACAATTTTATGACATATCCACCAGTAGAAGATGAATTCTCACAATCTCTGAAGCTTGAATCAGTGAGTGCCTCTAACTTTTCTGAATCAGATGTAAATTTTATACCTAGATTCGTGGTGCCTCTTAAATATCTAAATACTCTTTTCACATCGTTCCAATCATCTTCGGTAGGTTCAACTTGTTTTCTCGCTAGATAATTAACAGCAAAAGCAATATCTGGCCGTGTGGCATTAGCCAGATACATTAGACTTCCAATTGCTTCTCTGTAAGGTACCTTTTTCATTTCTTCGACTATTTCTGAATTTTCAGATGCATTTTTCAGTTTGTTATTTCTGTTCTTTACTTGCCGAGTTATCATTGGGGTTTTCTGTGGCTTGCATTCTCCCATATTGAATTTTTGTAAGATTTTCTCAGTATAAGCAGCTTGATGTAATATGATGTTTCTTTCCTCTTTGTTCCTCTGAATTGTCATTCCTAAAAAATCTTTGGGTTCTC